TGCATATATATATATATATATATATATATAAATATATATATGTATATGTATATATATGTATATATATGTATATATAGTATATATATATATATATAATATATATATATATATATATATATTTATAAAATATATATATTCTCCTAGATACTATTTTTCTTATGTCTTTCTACTCTCCAGGTGTGTACGAGAGGCTGCTAGACTATGCACGGCACTCACGATAGCGGATGTGATTGTTATAGATAGAACCGGTCACCATGACACGCGCAACTCTGAAGGAGCCTTACACACAGCAGACACAGCACAACACAAGGTCGGTACTTTGTAAGTGAATGTATTAGATACGGCTGATTTAGTGGATATTATGCCCCCCCCCTAAAGTTAGGTACATCTGGCAGGCAAAGATCACAACGGTACACACTATTCTTAAAGTGTGTTCTATGCTATCTAGTATGTTTGGGTGATATGATAGCCGTATAATAGCGTTTAAGGTATAAGTATTTTGCAAACGAAATGCACGATATACACACAACGCTGAAAAGCACGAGCATCACACACAACAGGCGCAGGACAAAACAAGGTAGGTGGCTTATATGTAGGTGTATAGAGTACAGTTGATGTTTGCGTGCGTAGAATTGCTCTAGAGCTACCTTGCGAGCAACGGTCATGGTGACACACACAACGCTACAGAAGTATCACACACATCAGTCACAACACAAGCCAAGATAGGTGCTTATGAGCAGTTGTGTATGCCTTGACTGCCATATTATTTACGACACTAGGTCCATGCATCTTGCAGCCATTATATTGAAAGTAAAAAATTCTATTTTTAGAATGTGGGCGAGAGTATGGAGGACGACGCAGAGAAGATCGACAGCGATGCAAGGGTGGATAGTACTACGGGAAAACGGAGAGTCATGACATTAATAGGACTAGTGCAGCCTCTACCCCCTTTCCAACTGCAGGCCGATGATAAGCGGTCGGTGTATGTTGAAGGTATGTGGTATGATGAATCACCTTAAATCAGGATTGTGATGTCGAGGTTGGTTGTCTGTGCGTGTATGTGTGTGTGGGGCTGTGGGCATTTTAGCTAGGCCTCAAGACACTCATCCCATGACATCCCACACATCTTGCGGTTTAAACCCCTACAACTATCAAACCCTGAACCTTACACCTGTAAATTTGCCAAATTTGTCAAGATTCTATATCAAGCTATTCTGATGATACACCCGTTATTGGCTGTGTATGTGATTGTGCGTCTCTTTACACGCTTAGTGTTCCAATTGCAACCGATCGAATCACACCGACACCTTTTCGAGCACTTCCATGTGCGCGTGTGCGGTTTAGGGTATAGGGTTTACGGTCTAGTGGGATCGAACCAAACCTCACTGACACTCTGTGTATACGTAAATACACCTGTAGGCTTGCCCAACACATCGGATCACAATACGTTGCGAGAGGCCTTCGGCATATACGGCTCCGTTACGCACGTGAGCATCCCGCGCTTCAAAGACAGGTCCATCAAGGGCTTTGCCTTCATCGAGTTTGAGACAGGTATGTTATTGGAAAGCTTGTAGATGACCATACTGGTCTCTGTTGTAGATGAATTGTATCGTATTGAAATGCTTGCTTGGTCACTTATAACGGGGGTTAGGGTTCGTCGCAATGGGTATAACCAGGGGTGTGCGTAGCCTCAGTGCACAGTGTAGTCGTGCCACGTGGGCATCGAGACTCACTTACTCTGAAATAGCACGTGATTTTCTTTATTCTCACATGTGCAGTGGAAGTATGACAATCTTGTATGAGCGCGTTATCGGAGTATGTGCACACCTACCCAGGAATTTTTTATCTCCATATATACAGTGCACTCTCTTGCGTCAAGAAGCTTTCGAAATCGTGGCCGTTTATTCAGGAATATACACGATTTTATCCCCAAACACAGCGCAAGCAGACACTCGATAGGGTTGGGATTAGGAGTTTAGGGTTCGAATCGTTACGAAATACACGCCCGCTCATTCAGGATTAGGGTTAAATGTCTTTGTCCTCAAATAAACAGTGGAAGGATAATCCCGTGTACGAATAAATTGGCGAAATACATGCTCATTTACCCAAGGATATACACAGTGAATGCGAAACACGCTTGGGCTAAGAAACTTACCAAATACATGCCCACGTACCTAGGATAAATGCAGTTCTCCATGTAGACAATGTAAACACTTCACTTTTACGTGACAATACTTACAAAACACAAGCCCACCTAACCATAATTGATTTTCCTTTTATCTTGTCCACATATATACAGGGGCAGTATCGCACACTTGTATGACAAGATTTTATAAAACTACATGTGCACTAACCCAGGAATGCATCTGTTTTTATTACTATACACAAAGTGGATGCGTCACATGCCTGCGCGAAGAAACTGACAAAATACATGCCCCCGCGTAATGCGATTGGTCCGGACGGCGACAGACATAAGGGAGCGCCAGTCATCTTACAAGCCATTCTGAAGTACGCTGTTGTTACAAGTGTATGAGTGAAAGGCAATAGCGCGCACCTTATGATACATCTGTGTATGTGTGTGAAAGGCGCATTACAATGTACGTTGTGGTACAGCGTATGTATGTGGCAGCCATCACTACGTACGTTATGTGTACATATGTGGAATGCATTGGGAAGAACAGTATGATACATGTTTATGTAGTCATGACAGAGTACGTTATGATACATGCATATATGTGTGAAAGCCATGACAATGTACACTGTGATACAGCGTATGTGTGTGGCAGCCATCACTACTTACGTTATATACCATGTGTATATATGTGAAAGGAATTATAAAGTACATTATGATACATGTTTACGTGCGAGATAGCCATGTCAGAGTACGTTAAGATACATGTGCATGTGTGAGAGAGCTATCACTTAGTACGTTATATTACATGTGTACGTATGTGAAGACCACCACGAAATACGTTTTGATACATTTGTTATGTTTGGGTATCAGTGTGGGTATCTGTGTGCAATCACAAACAAAAAGTCAGGGTTGAGTAAATGCACCCGTGTATATGTCTATGACTATTCTTGAGACTGCTCTGTCACTGAGTGTTCGTCTGAGGAGAGAGTGGTGATATGTTCGAAGGAGCATCCAGCCAGCCTCAGAGCTTTTACAAGTATGCTGCGAAACCTGACTGTGTATCTGTATTTTCGCATCCGTACGGACATGAGTATGTTCTTAAAGTATATATATATATATATATATATATATATATATATATATATATATATATGTATATGTATATGTATATACATATATATATATATATTTAATATATATATATATATAGTTGTATGTATGTATGTATGTATGTGTGTGTGTATGTATGTATGTATGTATAATTATTTATAAAACCATATATCCTGTATACCCTAGTCACATAAGCTGCCATCCCATTAATCAAGCCTGTCTTGATTTGCAGAGAGGAGTGGTCACGGCTGAAAGCCGCCTACATGAAACTACAGCAGGAAGCACTCGGGAAGCTCAAGAGATACCAAGAAGCAAACAAGTCCAGTGCTGATGCAGCCAATACGCATAACAATACGCAGAAGACATCCGTACAACCTATTGAGAGTGCGTATAAGGGGTCTCTGAAAAGAGATAGAAACAGTGACACTCCCGGAAGGACAGGGGATGGCATAGATACAGGCGCAAGCACACGAACCGCTAACGAGCCGGCTTACACAAAAGGACTGATTGTCCGATTGAACAATGTTAACCCCAACACGCGGAAGAATAAGTTGAAGGTGTGTACGTACCTTGACGTATAAGCAGATGTCTTTTATGAGGTATAGTTGTATGTATTGTGTTCACACCTTGGCGCACACAAGTTCTTTCTCAGAGGTCTTCGCACAGACGTATCCCCATATGATTCTGCTATCCACGCAACAGCATATATCTTTGGCATGCCACTTCAGGTCTATGTGTATGCGCGTGTGCCATCGGCGTGTATGTGTTAGTTGCGTATATCCTTGAATACACACAGTGATACATAAGGGTGTGTTTATAGCAAGTGAATGTGTATGCATATGAATGAGCCATAAAAAGACCTCGATTTGGGAGTCGTTCTCACTATGATCTTAGACGTATGGGCGCAGGTGATTACCAACTCAGGTCGCCGTAGCACTTTGCCCTGAGAATACGTACGTAATTAGACAGTAGTGTCCAAGCAAATGAATATATACATATACATACTGTTCGTTTACCATTAAAAAAAATGAAAAGTCACTAGTAAGAACATGTACATTGCTGTTGGCGTTGTCCTAAATTGTCTGATTTCCGGCTTGACTATCTACAGACAGCCTTCGAGGTCTACGGGGACGTAGCCTTTGTCGATTTTACAGTGGGGAAGACTTCGGTAAGTTAAGAAGTGGCGATGCATTTTTATTCGTCCTGTATTGTTTTTGCGCGTACATGAGATGTGAAACATGAGTAGCATATGTTCGTAGTATATTCGAATGTACTTCGGCTGATCACAACCACGAGGTGGCCGATTCGGGTCCAAACTTCGCATACTTTCTATATATCTATATATGTATGTATGTATGTTTGTTTGTTTGTTTGTTTGTTTGTTTGTTTGTACGTACGTACGTACGTGTTTGTACGTATGTATGTATGCATGTATGTATGTTTGTTTGTTTATACCTACCTACCTACCTACGCACGTATGTACGTATGTATGTATGTATGTATGTTTGTAGTAGGTATGTATGTATGTATGTATGTATATATATATGTATATATAATATATATATATATATATATATGTATATGTATATAATATATATATATATTCTTTTAAATAATCTTTTATATATTTGTACAAATTTTTATGTATATATACATATTTATATATATAAATATAAATAAATATATAGAAATAACATACTCGTGTACACTACAGGCCTTCATCCGGTTTACCAATCCAAAGCACGTGCAAGACCTGCTGACGAACTTCAAGTCGGTGCCGGAGATACAGGACGATGGTAAAGAAGTGGTTGTAAGCTTACTGGACGGTATGTGCGTGTGTACGCAAGCCTGTGTATGAGCTTGGCTGTGTGAGAAGTTGTTGTCAGCATATTTATGGCATATGCGTGTGTAGACATACGCTGGTGGTTGCATCTAGTTGTGTAAGTAGTGGTTTGAAGTTTGCTGAAGGGTAGGTGCCTGTGAATTTATTCTGTTTATGTCCATACTTCGCTGTGTGAGCAGTAGCTGTGGGATCACGGGATAGTACGTGCATATGAACACTGTGCATGCGTGTTCTCCCGGTTATCCAGTTGTCATCAGTGCTGCTGTATATATATATATCTATATATATCTATATATATATATATATATATATATATATTATATATGTATCATATATATCATATATACAATATATATATATATATACATATATATATATATATATGTGTGTGTGTGTGTGTATGTACTCAGCTCGTTTTCATGCTGTATCCACAGGGGAATTCGAAGCGCAATACTGGAGTAAACTAGGCCCTAAGGCCAAAGCTGCCGCCAGACAGGTGAAGGCATCAACTGAAGTAACGAGTGAGGAGAGCTCAGTATCAAAGGATGCAGCTGTAGCCCGAACATTCGGCAATGCAGATAACGTTCAAGGGGATGAAAACGCATCGAGAAAACGTGTAAAGACCTCGCCAGCACGTGCGTCAGTGGCAGAAACAGCAACGGTGCATGCGGATAACAAACGACCGTTTAGTGACATTGCGGAGGTGAGTAGTCGGCAACGCACCAATTGATATGAGGAGCAGTGGGCAAATACTACATCAGGATATATAGATATCCACACACATACACTTATATATATTACACTTATATATATGCATATTAATAGCTAGCTGCACATATAGCTATGTGATCCCAAGAGTGTGTTTATAAATAGTGCGCTTTCCCTGCCAGTTATGCGGACTGCTTGTATCTGTGTGAAAGTGTGTACTAGACTTGTATATATATATATGATAATGTTCATGTTCATGTATGTAAACCTGTTAACATAGAAGATCATGATATATCACTGAGTTGTGAATATATGTGTACCTAGTATGCACACAACTTATTTGTATGTAGCGTTGAGAATATTAATGTACTATAATTCCTTGAAATAGGGTGCCACCTTGATGGGGGGCCAAGGCAAGCGGAAGCGGAAAAAGACTCAAAAGCGCGTGCATGTGAAGTTCGATGAAGAAGATAGCACACCATCACAACAAGCTACAGCAGGTGACAATCATGCCAATTCTGATGACAAAGCTATTTCTAATACCGTGGAACTCGAGGAGGCTGGGAAGAAGCCGGTACAGCCCCCACAAAAAGGTGTTCAAAAAGGGGCTGATACTCATGAGACGTCAGGTGACGTGATACAAAAATCAGAGATGGCGAACGATCTAACCCGTCAAATAAACTCTTGATAATGAGCAGGTGTATGTATTTGCCATTTATATATATATGTGTGTGTGTGTGTGTGTGTGTGTGTGTGTGTACATATTATTTATTACTTTATTTGTATATATATAGATT